GGGAACACTAATTAACATGATAACACTCTCACATAAACAATGAAATCCCTCCTCTCCATCCTGGAGATAATTGGCTTAAGGCACTGCAGTAAACTCAATTATCTCCAGGTACAGAAAATATCTACATTTTAAACTAACAGCAAAAATACGTAAAAGTACATAAAAATACATAATTCTTATTATATTACACAGAACCCCCACATTTAACCTATCCCCAGATAGCTCGGATCTGAGCGCCCAATCTAGGTGAACAATAGACAGGAAACGGGGGAGGGGAAGAAACACACCTTCCCATGGATTCCAATGGGAAGAAACTGTCTTTAGAAGCCAATAAGCCCCAAATAGTCTTTTTTAAATGGCAATACACCCCAGGGCCATAGTCATGAGGAAGGAGGCTGGCAATCAGGCTCCTCCAAAAGCCGGGGGCAAAGGGCAGCTTGTCACCTAACAATCCAGGGACAAAAGGCATTTCGTCACAAATGTTAACAATGCAAACACTGTCTGAAAATCACAAACTTTACACAAAGCATAACTATGAAATCATGACTGATAAAAAGTGATAAACTGTCAGATTCTATCAACAATCTCAGGTTTACTAGATAGATCCTGCTCCATTCCCATCTATAACTCAGATTTATTTTCTTCTGCATTTGTTTGGCCAAAATATTTGAAATGTAGCTGACTTGATGAATTTTTCAAATTGAACTATTTTGGCTAAAAATTGAAATTTTCCCTTGAATTCCTGACACTTTACACGTAATTCTGAATTGTAGTGAATTGACTTATGACCAGCGAAATACGGCCTAAAACATCAGATCAGGAAATATTCTCCAATTCCCCGTTAGTCGCTGTTTATCTATTTTGCCCTGAATGTTCCCATGTCTGTGTCAGTCCATGAGAATTAGTAGAGAATAACCCCTCAGTGGGTCTCTGACCCAGAATATAGACTGACACTGTTACAAGAATGTCTCCTGAGTAACTTTTAAAGGAGACTGGGTATAGTTTAATTAGAGAGCCAATCGTTTCTGTGAAAGGTAATAATGTGCCTTTTATAGCTGTAGTTGTTTTAATAAATAGTGTTTTCAGTCTGTTTGATTTATGGTGAAATTCTTCTGCATAATGTAGATTATAGCACAGCCTTGTGGTCACAAGTGGATTGCTTGTTCTTCAAAGTTACAAAAAAACAGGATACTGAATGCAAGTGTGTCCGCACAAGACATCTATTCCCTGTTAAACTATTTACACACATTTTTATTATTATTACTGGTATTTATATAGCGCCAGCATATTCCCTTGTGCTTTACAATATTATAAAAGGGGGAGATTTAACAATAAATGAGACAATAACAAAAATGTACTGGAATAATAGGTTGAAGAGGGCAATAATTATGAGTTGACTTGTTTCACCTCACTCTGTAATGTCTTTATTAAAGGGACATCTCATTGAAGTGGTCTGGGTGCAGCATCCCTATTCCCTTAGTCCTGCAATGTAATATATCGTTGTAGAGAAATTGCAGTATTTATGTTAATTTTGCTGGAATAATACTGCCTCTAGTGGCTGTTTACCATCACTAGAGGCGCTTCCTGCATTTTCCCAGAGTTAGACTCTGTGAAACAGTGTTGGATCGCTTTATGCTTTGCTTAAGGACATCCAGCGTGTTGAAAATCCCCAAAGGAGGAAGGTCTAATGCCTCGCGCGGTGCTTCCCACCTTTTCAAAACCTGCAAAGAAAAAAAGCTACCTACGCACTATTCCAAATTCCTATGCATATTCAAATAAATGGAGGTTATTTAGTTACTCCAATGGCCATTGAAGGGAATGCCCACCTGCCATGTCAAGGCAGACCTCTTAGGTGGGTCCTACTCTAACCATTCATCTTGCTTCCTTGAGCTTCTGCCAAAGATATCTCTAATGAGACAGAAAGGGGTATTTTTGTAAACCCCTACATACTTATTAAACCTAAATAGGGAACACATGAGGTGTGCGGCAGCATTGTAACATGAGTGTATGACTGTGTGATACAAAAGGGAATGAAAATACACAAAAATAATTCCTGCGCTCAAACTCCCACTACTCCTGGGCAGCAGCACTGACCATAACATATATCAGCTCTATATCAAAACACATTTGCAGTGTGTTTGTTTGTGTAGCTGATATTTGTGCTGACGATGGAGCTCCCCCACTAGAACACTCTGCTCTACCTCTACTGGACCACAAAAGGATTATGGTCACCGGCATCCACTGGATCGAAAGGGATGGTAACCAGGAGGGGGTGCATACACCCACATCCACACAAAATACTCAGCCATACTTAACTTCCCTACACACAAAATAAATCCAGCTATCACACACATACACCACTCAGCCAGTACACACAGACACACTCATACAACCCTCACCCTCGTTGACACACGTGACACTCAGACACTACACACACATTCTCAAACACCCAACACTCAGTCAACACACACCACTCCCAGAAACAGAACCCAGGGCCCGAAAACATTGTTATATCTTTTAACATTAAGATGACCCATCACAGGAACTAAGTTGGTCCCATCCTAAACCCTAAAAGAAAATAGCCCCAGACCATTAACCCTCCACCACCAAACTTTACAGTAGGTACTATACATGCCAGTAAGTAGTTATCCTGGCATTCATCAGAGGTGTGGATCACACATTATGTATGTAGAAATCAAGAGATGTGTTCTAGGTGTGAATTGCTGTGAGCCAGGATCCTTTCTGCCTTACTCCTCTGTGCCACCATTAACTGTGTGCATGTGCCTAGAAACCTAGGGAAGACAATGCCTGGTGTTGGCACGAATGGAGCATTTCAATAGTTTGGAAGCATTGGCAGCACCTTCTACCCTGGAACTGAGTGAAGGTAAGTGTGTTTTATACTTATCAGGAAGTATTACTTTACTGAGAGGGTAGTGGATGCATGGAACAGCCTTCCAGCTGAAGTGGTAGAGGTTAACACAGTAAAGGAGTTTAAGCATGCGTGGGATAGGCATAAGGCTATCCTAACTATAAGCTAAGACTAGGGACTAATGAAAGTATTTAGAAAATTGCGCAGACTAGATGGGCCGAATGGTTCTTATCTGCCGTCACATTCTACGTTTCTATGTTTATCTCCTCTGTACACATTACTCCTAATACTGGTGTGGGGAAAAGTTATATTTCCCTTTATTATCATCAGCCCATACAGGATATTAAGCTGGAGAAGTATGACGGAGCTGTCACAATGCGCAGGGACGGGCGATGGCAGAATCACTTATGGGTTAGCTCCACCTCATACCCCTAAAATTAAAATGTCCCTCTTTGTCCATTCAAAATTTGAGACTATCAGACAGACTGTCTCTAACACAGACTGTCTCTCACACAGACCGACTCACACAGACTGTCTCTCACACAGACGGACTCTCACACAGACCGACTCTCACACAGACTGACTCTCACATAGACTGTCTCTAACACAGACTGTCTCTAACACAGACTGTCTCTCACACAGACTGTCTCTCACACAGACCGACTCTCACACAGACCGACTCTCACACAGACTGTCTCTCACACAGACTGTCTCTCACACAGACCGACTCTCACACTGATAGACTCTCACACAGACTGACTCTCACATAGACTGTCTCTCACATAGACTGTCTCTCACACAGACTGACTCTCACACAGACCGACTCTCACACTGACAGTCTCTCACATAGACTGTCTCTCACACAGACTGTCTCTCACACTGACGGTCTCTAACACAGACTGTCTCTCACACAGATCAACTCTCACACAGACTGTCTCTCACACAGACTGACTCTCACATAGACCGACACTCACACAGACTGTCTCTCACACAGACTGACTCTCACATAGACCGACACTCACACAGACTGTCTCTCACACAGACCGACTCTTACATAGACCGACTCTCACACAGACCGACTCTCACATAGACTGTCTCTCACACTGACAGTCTCTCACACAGACCGACTCTTACATAGACCGACTCTCACACAGACCGACTCTCACATAGACTGTCTCTCACACAGACTGTCTCTCACACTGACGGTCTCTCACATTAAACACACTGTTAGCTATGCTATTAATTGTTCACCTGAGAGTGCACTTTTGTTATTTATATTCAGTTTTTCATTCTTTATATAATTTGCTTTAAACAGCTCGATAAAGACTACAAAAAAGGATTAAGTAGAATGTCATGCCTGAAAATCGGTGTGGATTTTAACTCAGTCCACTTTATATCTCGAGAGAGTGTCGAACCGAGATTTGTTTCTGGGAGAAATCCTACATGGGTTTGAGACAAGGGATTGCCTAAATTAAGATCCTTTTAAACCTGTTAAAAAACAATGTTTCTGTTTCCAAGTCAGTCATTGTAACAAGATTTAACAGTTGAATGCTAAAGCTCATGTGTCTTCATGGATCACCAGCACTTGTTCAAGCAAAATAAAAACTCAAATGAGCTAATTTTGTGGCCCAAGTCTCACCATGTGTGTTCATTGTCAAGTGCTTTTTTCTCAACACCAACTATCACTCTATAAATTAGGGAGTGCACACATTCAAGTCACATGGACAAAGATGGCAGAACTTTGTTTCCAATAGAAAATGAAAGAGAGGTCCTGGTCCACAAGCTTTCATCAAAGGATCATTTTACTGGATACAAAAGGCAACGTTTCGCCTCAGTAGAATGACTTGATAAAGACTCTGTTCAGTCAAAGCATTGCCTTTTGTCTCCAATAACGACTTCTCTTTCAACATCTACTACCGACTCAACACATTATCTTGTCGATGACCAGGGGTGGGGGATTCGGAGACGGATCTCGGTGTTCAGGACAAGCTACATTGCTGATCGTCATTTCAAATAAATTTGATGTTTTGTTTTAATCAGACGGATACATTTAGCAGAGATACAGTAAATCTTTAACACAATATTCTCTATGTAAGGACCCAAACATAAGCCCACAGCAATATAAACTAGGGTGAGCAATGTGCAATAGTAACATATATTTATTTAAACAGACGCCTAAAATATTGCTATTCACAAAATATGGATTGAATACACAATTCACTGCCCAACACGTTTTGGGTTATTTCTTTCCTTTATTTTGTAAGTCTATCACAAGGTCCAAAATAATAACTGTATAGCATAAAGTGGATGAGAACTCAATAAAAATGATTGGAATGTGGGTTATAATAATTAGAAATAAGCTGTAATTGACATATTATACCTGGCTGGGTGTAAGGGACATTCAGATGTGTACAGTGTTTTAAATATTTACTATATTTGGAAATATATATTTTTGAGGTTTAACCATCACTTGCAGTATTTTTCCAACTCTTATATTTTGAAATAATACCTGTTTGGGTCTCAATGTGGCAACACTCACACGGTGTGAATAAGCACATTTAGGGAGGTGACAGTAAATAGCACACAGTATAGGCTGTGATTAGGGTTGACAAATCCATCATATTTTCATGGACACATAATCCCTCTTAATGTTGTTGTGCAGCACATGAATAGTTTGCCCTGAGGTATGTAGAAAGTATATGCTGCAATATTTTACAAATATAATTTGCTGCATGGTGTGAATGATTAAAATGAGATCACACAGTATCTTATCTGTAGAAATAACGTGTCCAGGAGTTGTTGGCAATCCTTCTTAGCCAGAAAGTACTGTCTCCCAGTTATCTAATGTGTGAATGTCTCCTGACAGTTTGACATGACAGAAAGAGACAGCTACGAGTGTGGCCCTTCACTTTCTGGCTTTTTATAACTGCTAGCTTGTGCGCCTCACAGATGTGTTACCATTACACTGGGCAGCACAATATAACTGCCTGTACCTAGTCAGGTGTAAAAACCCAGATTCACAATATGTGGTGAGTTTCAGCTACCCAGTTTGTGAATTGTTACAGTATCCCAGAAATTAGCCTTTTCAATGAGCAGGGAAAGTGTTTAATAATGTTTGCTCCACAGGAGAGAAATTACGGTAAAATATGTGCTATTTTAGGTGCAAAGTGCTAAATGTTGACATTCTATTGGTTGCTATGGTGACTGCCCCAGAACAGCAACTATTTGCACCTTGATAAATCTCCTCTACCCACCATTAAAGAAACAGGAAAACAGCTGCGCATGGAATTCGTTTACCCTATCATATAAAGGCCTCTGTGTGTGCTGCCACACTACATATTCAATGTGTAACAGTTTAGCAATTGACATCACAGCCCTGTTCAATCCAGGGACCACCAGGGCTCACATTGATCGGAGTGTGAGGTAGGGACCAGATAGACTATGGTGAGCCTTTGCAATGGACACCGTTTTAAACACAGCATATTTAAAACCATATTATGGGTTGTGGTCTGTCGATTGGTCTTAACACCGTCATTTCTTGCACCAGGTATGTAATCTCAGATAGACTTTATCTTCGAAACCAGAACTGGCACCATGCTGATGAGACACACAAGGTTGAAATTGCTGTCCATGTCTGATTTTAGTCACTGATCTGTTAGGATCACAACCCATGCTACGGTTTTAAAAAAGCTGTTTAATACAGTGCCCATTGCTACAGGTATCTACAGAATCACAAAATGAAGACTGAAACATGGTGGCTGCTCATTTGCATGTCAAGCAAGGAATTCTGGGATAGCTGTGCAAACATGATTTCTGCCCAATGAGGACTTTACAAAGTCTGGCTCGAGATATGCAGGTGATGCGTTGCAATAATTTTTCTATTAGAGGAGGAGAAATTCAAACATTGGAAGAGATGTATCTAAGTGTCCTGAATATTGTCTTTTAATTTATGGTCTCCAATCTCTTCATGTGAAACATAGAATGTGACGGCAGATAATAGCCATTCAGCCCATCTCGCCTGGCGAACTTTTCAAATACTTTCATTACTCCCTGGTCTTATCATAAGTCTAGGATAGCCTTATGCTATTTGTATCATATTGTTCTAAAAACATTTAGCAGAATTATACTTTTCAGAAAACAGCTCCAAATTTAGTGGCAGAAAAGAGGAAAGTAACACCGGACACTTTTCTGGTGAAAAAAAAAATAGAAAGACTGCTAAATAACCAAAACACATAATTAGGGCACAAAAGAAGTAACAAATGAAAAAATCTGACATATTTAATAAATCAACAGAAAAAACAAAAACTTTAAAAAAAAGCCTAAAACAGTAGAATACACCTTGATAATTCGACCCTATTGTTTGGGGTTCTCTACACTGTCTCTGCTCACTGTCATTTGCGAAGAGCGCATACAATGATGGACAGGGAATTAGCATGTACGCTCTCAGTTCTAGGATAGAAGTAAATACAGTAGTGCAGATTTCATCTGACTTTTCACCTTACGAACACACATTTGGTAAATATAGGGGATAAATAAACAGAAAATTTAAAGTCCTGGGATATGAGGTTTCCTTTAATAGTTGTAGAGCTTTTAACCAATTAAAAAACAGTGCCCCCCTAGGTACGTCAAATAGTCACATTCATTTTAAGCAGCTTTGCATCTCCTTATCTCTACATCTCGAGAAGCTGCCTTATACATTCATTGAATGTGAACATAACACAATTTAAACATGCTGGTGTTTTTAAAAGAGATCCACAGGCTGTTATTCCATACTTAATGGGATGACTTGTTTCCATTTGCAGCAGGTATCTGCATGCTATATTCATTTATCAAAACACTGGCATTCTTCAGCATTTCATAAAACATTGCCAGAGTTTTCTGGTAAAGATCTCGGTTTAGGACAAATGTCCGAAAGAGGTTCAGAGGTTCTGTGTAGTGAAAGATTTCTGGAAGATTCACAAAATGAGGAAGTTTGGTATTCCCCACCATAAAATGGTTGAGTTTCTTCTCCAGCAAGCTTTTTTCCAGACTCACGAACATATCTCTCAAACGTTCTTCTAACATTACAATGTTCCAATCTGAAGACGGTCGGCTCAGCAAAAGATGCAGCAGAACTGTTTTCAGATGGTAAGTGGTCAGCCCGCTTGGCCCAGTTAGGTGACACTGTTTGGAGTAAAGGAAAGTCATTATCTGTAAGCAGCTAAGGTGGCAGGAATTTGCAGGTAGATACTTGGCAATCTCCTTGAGGAATCTCCTCTCATACACTGCAAAGGAAAGAATCCAGTGGATATTGGAAGCCTCAGTATATAATTCTGTGGAATTTGGAAAATGTGAAATGAAATACAAGTCAGAGTCTTCATACTGAACCACTGGGGTAATATTGAAGCTAATTACCTTCCCAGATTTAAATTTTACCCTTAAGGCTCCTGGAGAGTTCAAGTGGCTAAAAGTGAGGTCGAATTCATATTTGTGAGAAATCTTACTCCAAGCTTTTGTTACTGAAGTTTGGAACCATTTCATCACCCGATCGGTAGATAAGAAATTAGAGTTTTTGGAGCAAAGTAAATCCATATCTCCATCATTTTTCTTGACATGAAAATCTTGGCTGTGAAGAAGACATAACATGTCTTCTCCAAGTTTGGTCTTTCCACAGACGCATCCTGCCGCTTCATCATCAGGTCCATAAACTCGGATTGTCCCATAGCCTGGATAAATTGATTGTTCTGTGACCCAAGGCTGACACTTAAAGTGATATGGTTCTGGAGGAGCAAAGGGAACAATCAAATCACATACTAATGGCTTATTCACTCTCCAGTTTTCATACGTGCTCCCAACACAGACACTATCCTCTACCTCCATATCAGTGTCACGGTTGCAAACACTTCGCAAAGCTTCCAGCAAATCATCTGCAAAGCCTTCTACAAACTCACGGGTCTTGGTAGTATCGTAAATGGCACCTCTTATATACTGGTCATAAAAAATAGCCAACATGGTCTTGTTTGGGAGGGACACACCTTGCCAAGCATTACCTAAACATTGCAGCTCATCCTCTTCCTTGCCGTGATCTTGTGTGTTCCCACCTTGAAAGTCTTGTCGCCATATTTCAATCAATAGGAAAATCGCCATTGACAAGGCACTCCAGAAATCCCAGGCCTCTATATCTGTTTTTGGCTCCTCCTCCTGCGACTCCTCGCTATTCATAAGCAACTCCAGTTGTAGCTGCTGACTTTTAATGTTCTCCTCGTGCTCTTTCATTTTCTGGAGGAGATGTTCATCCGTAGCTGGCAGAGTGGCATTGTTTTTGGGGAAGAGTAGCGGGTGGTTAACAATTCCTGTAATCACTACCAGAAACACCTTGAAAATTCCAGCTTGCATGGTAATCCTAAAGAAAGATATGAAAAAAAAATCAGAAAATCAGCCGTAATACTGAAATATGAGTTTAACAGTTAGCTACAATTTTTACGAGATGTGTCTTCCATTGTTAAAATAATTAATGTGTAAATACATCATACTATCTAGTGCAATATTTTCTATATGATACATCATTTAATCTGATATATTATCTAGCGGGGTATATTATTCAGTACTGTCTGAGTATAATATGTATTGTGCTGATATGTATTAGTCAATGGAACATATGTTTCTGTGCGAGACAGCTTGAAAGTGAGCACTGGAATTTAGGACACAGGCAAGATATTATTTAATAAGTGCCATTCACATAGCTTCATTAGGCAGCCATAAACATAGAAACATAGAATGTGACTGCAGGTAAGAACCATTCAGCCCATATAGGCTGCCAAATATCCTGAATGCTTTCATTAGACCCTGACCTATAGAGTTAGCCTTTCCCTCATGCAAGCAGCCAATTATACATACACACAATTTAAAATGCACCAATTCCTGGCAGATCACACTTTAGTGAGTAGCCCTGACAAACTCACTGAAAATGATGATGCACCAAATCTGGTTGGGTTACATTCAGAGAGTAAGATAATAATGTAGGAGGGAGTGGAGTCAGTTAAACCGTCACAGCTGAGAGCAGCGAATGAAAGGACAGCTGAAATGCCCAGACATTGACACACAGAAATATGCAGCATGCGTTACTTTCTCTATCATGTCTGAGCTAACATAGACATGTTGGGGGAAATGAACCCGGATACTGCAGCAGGAAGGACCTCCAGTGGCTGTCAGTATCACAAACCTGAAATGTAATGTAATGTTTTACACTGAGAAAGGGTTGAACCTACAGGGCCATAGAAGCAGGTCACTTCATTGAGATACATCATTGAGGTACATCATTGAGATACAGCATTGAGGTACATCATTGAGATACAGCATTGAGGTACATCATTGAGATACAGCATTGAGGTACATCATTGAGATACATCATTGAGGTACATCATTGAGATACATCATTGAGATACAGCATTGAGGTACATCATTGAGGTACATCATTGAGGTACATCATTGAGATACTTAATTGAAATACATAATTGAGATACAGCATTGAGATACATCATTGAGATACATCATTGAGGTACATCATTGAGATACATCATTGAGATACTTCATTGAAGTACGTCATTGAGATGCATCATTGAGATACAGCATTGCGATACATCCTTGAGATACTTCATTGAGATACAGCATTGAGATACTTCATTGAAATACGTCATTGAGGTACATCATTGAGATACATCATTGAAATACGTCATTGAGGTACCTCATTGAGATACATCATTGAGATACTTCACTGAGATACAGCATTGAGATACTTCATTGAAATACGTCATTGAGGTACATCACTGAGATACATCATTGAAATACGTCATTGAGCTACATCATTGAGATACAGCACTGAGATACTTCATTGAGATACAGCATTAATATTATTATTATTGCCCTTTATATAGCGCCAACAGATTCCGTAGCGCTTTACAATATTATAAGGGGGGATTTAACAGTAGAACCATTACAAGAAAACTTACAGTAACAGTATGATGAAGAGGACCCTGCTCAAACGAGACACGTTAGGACAAGAAATAGCAATCAAATAAGGTGGGAGAGAAGGAGAGAGTAGAGTTCTGCCCTTTAGGAGAGAGCAAGAGACAGGTATGCGAGGTAGAGGTTACTCTGGGAGACCATAAGATTACCTAAAGAGGGGTTTTAAGGCACTTTTTAAACAATTGAAGGCAAAGGGAGAGTCTGATGGGGGTAGGCAGGCTATTCTATAGAAAGGGAGCCACCCACGAGAAGTCCTGCAAGTGTGAGTTGGCCGTACGGGTGCGAGCAGCGGACAGGAGAAGGTCACGGGCAGAGCAGAGAGACCGTGAAGGAGCATACCTATGGATCTGTGAAGAGATATAAGATAAGAGGGGCTAAAATTGGTCAATGCTTTGGATGCGAGGCTCAAAGGTGAGACCAGAATCAAGTTTAATGCCAAGACAGCGCGCTTGCAAGGATGGACTAATGTGAGACATACGGGTAAAGTCTATCTCGAAGCTTTGAGGAAAAAGGGAGCAGGGATATGGGACGATAGTAAGAGGGGGAGGATAGGTTGAGAGATGTTTTTTTCAGGATAGGTACTACAGTGGCATGTTAAAGGTCAGTAGGGACAATGCCAGAAGAGAGAGAGCAGTTGAAGATGTGTGCTAAGGAAGGCACAAGACAAAGGGAGAGATATCTGATAAGGTGAGATGGAACAGGATCAAGCAGGCAAGTGGTAGGGCAAGAGGAAAGGAGAAGAGCAGCCACCTCTTGTTCAGTAGCCAGGGAGAAAGTCTGAAGGGTAGGAAAGGCATGATCTACATGTGGTTGAGAAAGAGAACGGCAAGGTGGTGAGAATTCTTTCCTTAGCTGTTCAATCTTGTCGGTAAAGTAGCATACAAAGCTATCAGCTGTAAGGTTAGTTTGGGGGGTGGCCACAGCAGGGCGAAGAAGAGAGTTAAAGATGTCAAAGAGACACCGGGGATTGGGGGAGCATGAACTAATAAGAGAGGAAAAGTATGACTGTTTGGCAAGGGCAGGGGCTGCGCTGTATGAACACAATATGAATCTATAATGGAGAAAGTCTGACTGGGTGCGAGACTTCCTCCAGGAGCGTTCAGCACAACGGGAGCAACTCTGCAGGTAGCGTGTTGATTTAGTATGCCATGTTTGGGGGGTGTCCTCCTCGAGGTGCATGTTTGGAGCAGGGCTGCAGCATTCAAGGCAGAGGTGAGATAGTGTTATATGTGGAGATGGCCAGTGAGGGACAGGAGAGGGAAGGGATGGATTGGAGTTGTGAATCAATATCAGCTTACAGCTGATGGAGGTCAATAGAATTAAGGTTCCTCCTGAGTTTAGGGGGTTAGGCTGAAGTTGTTGGGTGAGGGGGTACTTGAGAGCAAATGATAAGAGGTGGTGATCAGAGAGAGGAAACGGATTGTTGCAGATATTAGATACTGTACATGCATAAGAGAAAACGAGGTTGCGGGTATTGCCAGCTACATGGGTGGGAGAATTAGCTCACTGCGATAGCCCAAGGAAGGAAGTAATTGAAAGTAGTTTAGAGGCTGCTGAGGTCAAGGGTGGGTTAATGGGAATATTGAAGTGCCCCAAAATTAGGGATGGAATATTAGAGGAGAGAAACCAGGGGGCGATACATAACGGCAAAGTTAGCAGAGAAGGGTTTGAAAAGGCGAATCAAATGGATTTCAAATGATGACAAAAAGAGGGAAGGGGGGTTGGATAGAGGTTTGAAGGAGATGTGTAGTGAGAGTAGAAACCCTACACCACCACATTTACATTCATTGAGATATGTCCTTCAGATACGTCACTGAGATACACCATTGAACACCTCATTGAGGTACATCATTGAGATACGTCATTGAGATACGTCATTGAGATGCATCACTGAGATACGCCATTGAATACATCATTAAGATATATCATTTATTGAGATACATCACTGAGATGAAGTAGTCTGGGTGACTTTGGTGGTCCTTTAAATGCAGATGAATTTATTAACCCACAATTTTTTTGTGTGGCTACGGCAGACAGGATCCCTGGCAACAAAGTATCCAGAATCCTGAAATGCTTTCCTGGAAATCTTCTAAGTGGTGACAAATTTTGCCAGACAGAGAAATGTCTCTGTCCTGCCCACTGTGGGAACAATGTGCCAGCTCTTCCAATAAGGGGTACAGGTAAAAAAAAGGCTTCCAATGGTTTGTGGTATTTTTGCAGGAAGATAATTGGAGCCAGGGGGGAGGGGGGAGTATCTCAGAACAGGCCAGTAAATCTCCTGCAAATATAACTCACAGTATCCACAGCTCACACAGCCCCATAAGCACATTCTGTTGTGAGTGAAAGCTATGATATGATCAGGGGCCGGAAGCCTTGATACGGCTGCTACACCCTCTGTTTCCTCATTGTCACCAGACACAAAACAATAGCTTCTTGACCTGGATCCAGGGAGGGTGAGGTGCAGGACAGCGCACGAAAGGAGGCCACTTGGGCAGTGCTTGGCTCTCACTGTTCCAAACACTTCCATTTGCTCTAAGTGGGCTGGCCTAGTGCCGGGGGTCCTGCTGGATGGTAGTGATGTGAGCTGAAGTCAGGCCAACAAGCTATGCATTTTAAATGCTCCTGCATTTGTTTTATGTCGGCGCTGTATGTACTTTCTGCCAGCATCTCTGTACTTTCTAGTTGTTTACAAATATGTCCTGATTTGTTAGGGAATGTTTGACAATCACACAAAACAACAAAAGAAATGGAAACAAACAAACATTACAATAAAAGAAATCATACAATGTTTTGAATTACACCAGCAGTTTTTCCCGCAAACCTCTATGGGCAGTTATTTCACCAACACAACAGATCTAATGACTATTTCTGCACAAAATGAATTTTGGCAGGATTGTAAAATAGAAATTTCTTTGAAAACTGGTGGAATTTACAATGATGAAACCGTCACTTTTTAGATCACGTTAATAAATACAATAAAAATAATACAAAACTCTGCACATACAGACTCCAAGCACCATCATCACTTCAAAATACTGAAGTAAAGCTTTAAATATTTTGTTTATCACAATGTTCTGAAAAATGGTGGTTAAATACCATCATTAATCTGTATTAATATTTATTAAAGAGATGATTTTCTTTGGCTGAAATATCTATAAATCTTTTGCATCAACAACAAAAAATGGTGCCTATTCAAAAATGAGACGATATTTTGCTAAATCTCCCTCTTTGTAATTAAATCAAACTGCATTTCATTCCTGTAGCTATTCTCCGTGCACAGTGATGTGCATATTAAAAGATATTGAGCATTTTTTGAGGTCACTGACGTGTCCCTGCCTTCATGAGACAGAGGCTATTTTCAGCCCAATTCCTAACTTCACCATTTTCTGCTATTTTCCAATAGATCTAGGGATTTATTTATCCGGTTGGATATACATATTAGAAATATATATTAGAAACATAGGTTTGTATTCCTAACGCTATAGCGTTCTTTAAGAGGTTATTATAGAAATACACACCATTATGTTATGCTCTCCATGGGACATTTTTAGAAGCATTTGCCTGCCTTTCTACTCTTGCAGATCGTCCATGATTACAATTTCTATTGAGTAAATTTACTTTGCATTAGGATGGTATGTCAGCAACAATTACTTTACTGAGAGGGTAGTGGATGCATGGAATAGCCTTCCAGCTGAAGTGGTAGAGGTTAACACAGTAAAGGAGTTTAAGCATGCGTGGGATAGGCATAAGGCTATCCTAACTATAAGATAAGGCCAGGGACTAATGGAAGTATTTCGAAAATTGGGCAGACTAGATGGGCCGAATGGTTCTTATCTGCCGTCATATTCTATGTTTCTGTGTTTACTGTTTCTTTTTATTGTGCTCCATCTCCCATTCCGTAATGAAGTCAGATTGAGTGCAATAGTTGAGCAAAGTGGTTATGGTGTGCTAAAGTTTAATTCCAGCGAGTAAAATTTTTATTGTCATCAAGCTGTCTAATCTCTTTGCTTTGGGGTTACTAAGAATGAGGTTTTATATGGTGGGGTGGGAAGGTTTGGACGAGCGGAGTATATCCAGCAAGGGGTGGCTAGCGAGGGAGCCTAAAGGACTGAGGGTGAACCCAACAGGCCAAAATGAGAGATCTTGATTTTCCAAGGTTCTTCCTGAGTGCGAGAATCTCAAACCTTATGATGTAGTGTGTGGGGTTTCAAACTAATAGAACATTAACATGTTTTTTTATTATTATTTTGGATTATTATTATTATTATGGATTATTATTATTATTTTAGATTATAATTATTATTATTATTTTGGATCTGTTGCTTTGCATATTTTTCTTGCAATGCATTAAAATAGGTCAGTACTGGCTCGGAGTGCTCTGTTATGTAAAACCCAAAAGGTCCTCTGGTCCTCATTGTGTCATAAAACTCCCAGCTGTCTGACTCTTTTAACCCCGGAAAGTTACAGCTCAGAAAGTTCTTTCGTGCAGAATGTTTTCTAACAGCAAAATGTTAGAATAGAAGATACATTCGAGCACGTTTCCATCAGATCGCCAGTAATTTGGGGATTCTAGAATCAATGCCTATAACATTACATTAAATGAATCTTAAGGAAACATTAGCAGTTCCTGAATAATATTAGATGAGACAGACTTACCTGATCTAAGGAGCGAAATGTTCCCCAGGAGAATTCGTTCTCCATACATTTCCTCCCTGTGCTGCAATTAGTGGGGTGCGGCTCTTACCTCTGCCCATAACAAAGTGACATGCTGATCCCTTTATACCTGGCACAGCCAATACTAAACTCTGCAAACCTCCACCCTGAAATTAACTCCTTCACCATCATACTTCATAAACTTAAAACACAACACATTAAAGGCTGATATATACGCATCTTTAATTGCTACCAGCCTCGTGATGGGTGGATTAAATGCATATAACGAATATAATTAATCAGAGCACTGCTCCTTTCATGCACTCACTACAAACTTTGCCTTTTTGTGGTAAAGCGAAGAATTCTGCAAAACTTTTCTACAGAACTGGGCAAAAATACAGCTAATTATGTAGAAAGTAGCTCTACCTGTCAGGAGAGCTAAACATCTAAATTTTACATAAAGACTCAGAGGGTCATCATATGGTGCAATGGGCAATCATTTCTCATTTGTCAGGCACTGGTCTCAGAGAGACGGCAGATTAAGGACTAATTTCTAACCTTGTCACGAAGTAGTTGCCTCAAGCTGTCGCTATTAATACCAGCCACTAGCGGCTACTAATTAGTCACTGGTTTCCAAACTAGTCACCGGTTTTACTGACTGACGGCCAATACTGGCCACTCACAGGTCTACTGCACATTCAGATCAGTTGGCATTATACGCTATGCCGGCAGAAAAGGTTCTGTGATTGGCCTTAGCAGGAGATAGTGAAAGTGTATACAAAAAGGGGTTAATTACGAAAGTGAGAATTTTCACTTTATTGAATAACCCTGAATGTATTGAATGGAGATTCTGTGCTATGCCAGATGTATCTCTATATAAGCTTTCAGCTTTGTTTTATTTATTTATTAGAATGACACATACCCCTTACTTATAATAAAGAATTGTTTTATGTTTGTTAAGATGTGCCTGGCCGGTATTTGTATTGCTCTTTGATATGGTTTAATATGTGATTTAGGGTTTCAGTATAATCTATATAGCTGTATTTATCCTATAGGATGTATTGAATTAGCTGCTTTGCCCCCCCCCCTCCCCCCTCCTGGCCGGAGGTTAGTGTTAAGTTGTGTTTTAGAGTTGTCCGTTAAACCGTAGTGATAGGATTGGAAACCATTTACTAAGTAGCGGTTAGTGGTTCACACAGAGAATAATGGAAACCTATGGCCGATACTTAGTGACTGACTATAAGTAGCGTCAGCCCGTAACTCCTCGTTACTGCGTCAGTAATCAGTTGCTGCTCACTACCAGCAGCAACAGACATTTAAGCAAGTAGCGACTAGCTGGTAAAATACAGCGACAGGGATGGAAATAAGCCATAAGTAAACGGACACAGTCATGTTATTTTTGGAGTACAGAGTGATTTTTGAGTGGATGATTTGGCTCTCTGTATGTTTACCATGTGACAGTAGTCACCATCGCTGGGACCATATAAACTCTGCCCTTCTCTCTGGCAGCTATTATAGTAACTGTTGACCTCCATCTTCCCCAGAGTTGCTCCACCTTGGGCTGAGTATATGTGTGGAAGGAGAAGGTGTTGTGACTGTGCAATGAGACCAGCTGTATAGAATGACCCCAGTCTCAGCGAGGAGCTCTTTCTGTGTGGGTGTATGACCAGGGGCAGAATGAGTTTGCAATTTAGGCTCCTAACAACAGGTCCAGATATCCACTGAGTTCAAATCCCTACACAAGTGCTTCTATTATACAATTGGAGGGTATAGACATGTTATTGTCCACCTCTCCCCCCAAATTGCCATTATTTAACCCTGGGTGGATATAGGTCCCTAATCACCTTGCCACCCCTTCTTAAAATAAACACTAACTGCCTTCCACACCCTAATGTGGGTGTGCATTAAAACTAATACATGTAGAAAAAAAAATATACTTTCTGAAGTCATCTTTTCTGTAAATTTTAAAGGATCACTATAGGGTCAGGAACACAAACATGTATTCCTGACCCTATAGTGTTAAAACCACCATCTAGCCCCCTGGGCCCCTAATACCTCCATAAATATAGCAAAATCTTACTGTATTCAAGCCAGAAGCTGTAGATCTGCATGCTGTTTGCCTAAAAAAAAACAAGCAGTCTGTTGACATCATCAGAAGTGGTAGCCTGTTCCAATCACAATGCTTCCCCATAGGATTGGCTGAGACTGACAAGGAGGCAGATCAGGGGCAGAGCCAGCATGATTCAAACACAGCCCTGGCCAATCAGCATCTCCTCATAGAGATGAATTGAATCAATGAATCTCTATGAGGAAAGTTCAGTGTCTGCATGCAGAGGGAGGAGATACTGAATGTTTGGATGCATTTTAGGCAGCCATGACCCAGGAAGGATCTCTAACAGCCATCTGAGGGGTGGCCAGTGAAGTTATCACTAGGCTGTAATGTAAACACTGCATTTTCTCTGAAAAGACAGTGTTTACAGCAAAAAGCCTGACGGTAATGATTCTACTCACCACATACACATACATTCTACTCACCAGAACAAATTCAATAAGCTGTAGTTGTTCTGGTGACTATAGTGTCCCTTTAATTTCAGCCCCTAAAAAAGGTAAATAGAAACCATATCCCAGCAACGCTGGGTAACAGTTTTATTGCGCCCCTCCACCACTATTTTTGGGGTCGAGTTTACTTATTTTAAGTGTGCTGTTGCTAGGATGTTGGGTACCCTAGCTACTCAGTGAAGGGGTGTTGACAATGGACATATTGGGGGAGATTTGGACAACGGCATGTCCAGCCCCCATTGTATATTTATTTAAGTGCTTACAGTTCTCCAGACACCGGATGAACTGGTTTATCAGATGGTCAAGCGGACTGTTGGAAATCATGTTACCTGACAGGTTTTCATGCTGTCATGGCGTTTGGAGTGTCTCTTTATATTGCAAAAGTTACATGTGGCTACCACAGTATCAGATCCCTCGGCCAGCACTACATATTGAGAGAGCTTGCATTACTCAGAATATTGCATACTCTACGTGAAGAGACAGTTCTGACATTAGGAAAACCAGTGACAATGTATCAATCATTCTATTGGCAGCTTTCTCAATCCTAACAATGAAAGGGTTAAGAGGATGTGAATTTATTAATTCTGTGTGTGATGGGGAGTAACAGCCATTTGTTCTGGTAACGTTTCCCATGTCTGCTTACAGATAAAGACACTAAGATAAGTAGTAATAAATAAACACTAACAAGAAAACATTATATTAAGGAGAATTGGTAAAATAATATTTTTTTCTGGTAGTCACTCTTTTTTTGAGTTTGATTCAACGTAATTATGAGCCCATTTTAAATAAGACCAATGTCATGCTTGCTCTAATTGCATTAATAATGTGAGCATCACAAGCTTAGCAGTGGGGGCCACGGGGGGACAACCACACCGACAGCCAAACCAGGCTGAAAGTGAGCAAATTGCTTGTGAATGTGCCGGCCACCATCCAGGGCAGCTTCAGCTCTCAGGGCCGGAAGAATAGACTCCATGCCCTCAGGCAGAAAATGTACAGGCCCAGGACAAAAGCAGAAGCTCTTGCCGACCCGGATCTTATGATGAGGTAAGATTCTCCTACCTCATAACCACTCCCACACACAGAGACACAACCAATCACAAGCATCAATACCCACACTCATAAATGCGCACTTTTCTGCTTAGCTGTGCCATCTCCCCGGGGCCTAGCTTGGCAGTCAGAGACCAATTCATTCCGCTAAGCAAGAAAACCAAAAGAAATGTTTAAAACATTGCATATTATCCACCAATAAATTCTCCCTGAGTCACTGAGCAGTGCGGGACCTATATATTGTCATTTATTGGTACGGGGTCCAGATGATCCTTAGCTCCCTCACCTACAGTAAGTGCACAACCAATTTGTTATAATTTATTCCACCACCATGACATAGGTAGATTCCATCAAAGATTGGGGACAGCAAGGCAATGCCCCTCCTCCGAGAAGCTAAGTGATGACCTTGATACCATGCTCCTTAGCCAGTCACAGATATAGAAAGGAAAAAATAAAGGAAAGAATCCAATCAATCCCTACCTATAGAGGGATAAATTGGATAGTTCCAGGAAAACCCCCCACTTATTATCCTCTGTGTGGGGAATAACCCACTATAAAGCAGAAAGCAAAGAAAAAAATGTGGACTATAGGTCCAATTGAGAGGATAACAGAAAAAAGGAGGAAGCCCTACCTTTAATAGTTCTAGGGAAAACAGTAAGGGAGTATAAACCATAAAGAGGAAGGGCCAAACCTAGAAAGGCTGCATAAATGTCTAAATATGCGACATGCCATAAGGCTTATGGTCTAGGTCAGTGTTTCCCAACCCAGTCCTCAAGGCACACCTACCAGTCCAGGATTTAGGGATTACCCAGTTGTGTGTTTTTTTTCTTCTTTGTAAAAACACCTTAGACACAACTGGGTAATCCCTAAATCCTGGACTGGTAGGTGTGCCTTGAGGACTGGGTTGGGAAACACTGGTCTAGGTTACTAGTACGGCTGCAAAATGACTGCAAAAATGCAAGCCTACCTACACAGAGGGGTAGGAATGGGCGAGGTGATCTAAAGGGAGGGAGAAAAACCAAGCAGAAGTAGGAGCGAACCCCCTCCTTCTAAATCCCCCAAAGCCAGTTGCTGATAAAAAGCCAGGCTGTGGAGCATCCACTAATGCCTACCAGAACCTCTGTTCCTTCCTCCACTAAGTAAAAAACACACACTTAACTAACTAAAAATAGTGCATAGTGCTACCTAGTGAATAAAGTGAAAAAATTATAAACAAATAGCTTGACGCGGGTTTCGGTGTAGGTAGGCTGGCATTTTTGTTCACAATTCTATTGTGTGTTCTTTTGCAGCCGTACCAGTAACCTAGACCATAAGCCTTATGGCATGTCGCATATTTAGACATTTATGCAGCCTTTCTAGGTTTGGCCCTTCCTCTTTATGGTTTATGCTCCCTTACTGTTTTCCCTAGAACTATTAAAGGTAGGGCTTCCTCCTTTTTTCTGTTATCCTCTTAATTGGACCTATAGTCCGAATTTTTTTCTTTACCAGTCCCAGATATAGATTGTAGAGCTTGGTCTGTACTTCCAGGTCAAGTTGCCCTCTCCTTCTACTGTATCAGAGTATTGCTGCGGATTACTGTGACACCCGACAAGCCGCATTTCCTACCTCACTCACAGGGACCAGGATTCCCCCTTCCCCCTGGGAAACATTTTATGTTGTTTTTTTAATCAATTTTTTCCCCTTTCCCCTCAGCACCTTATTATCCAATGCAAAATATCTCATACCAACTTCTTAACCCCAACCCCCAATTCAGGCACTAGCCCCCAATACTATCCATAACCCCCCTTAATGCCTCTAATCCCACCATGACTCCTAAATCCCACCACTGCACCTCCTAACCCTGTTTCAGCCTCTTTCCCCCCGGACTATTGCCGCTAACTCTCCACTACTTACCATAGCCCCCACAACGGAACTACCTTATTACAGCTTCTTAACCCTACTACTGCCTCAAACCCCATCTACAATGTAGTTGTGGGCTTCTAACCCACAACTACAGCCCCAATTCCTCACAGCCAATATCTTCCACTACAGCTCCTTAACCCACAACTATTGCCCTAAATCCCACTACACCCCAATAGTGCCTCTAATACCCACTCACTTCTCCTCCATGGAACCTAAGCCCACTCACTTCTCCATGGAAATCATAACACACTCACATCTCCATGGAAACCTAAACTCACTCACTTCTCCTCCATGGAAACGTAAACCCACTCACTTCTCCATGGAAACCATATCTCACTCGCTTCTGCATGGAAACCTAGACCCACTCACTTCTTCTGCATGGCAACCTAAACTCACTAACTTCTCCTGCATGGAAACCTAAACCCACTCATTTCTCCTGCATGGAAACCTAAACCCGCTAATTTCTCCTGCATGGAAACCTAAACCCAATCAATTCTCCATGGAAATCTAAACTCACTAATTTCTCCTGCATGGAAACCATATGCCACTCATTTCTCCTGCATGGCAACCATAACCCACTCACGTCTCCATGGAAACCTAAACTCGCTCACTTCTCCTCCATGGTAACCTAAACCCACTCACTTCTCCATGGAAACCTAAACCCACTCACTTTTCCTCCATGGAAACCTAAACCCACTCACTTCTCCTTCATGGCAACCTAAACCCACTCACTTCTCCTTCATGGCAACCTAAACCCACTCACTTCTCCTCCATGGAAACCTAAACCCACTCACTTTTCAAACATGGAAACCTAAACCCACTTATTTCTCCCGAACAGACTGAGCATTAAACCATTCATTTAATCTGTACTGAAAATTAACCCCCACTCACTTCTCCTGTGTTTTAATCCTTTCTCTACTTCCTGCATCAAGTCAAACTTCAGATACTCTGCTTCTCTTACTGAACCAGGATCCTCCACTTTGCGTTGTGTAAGCTTCAAAGCTCTGCACCTCCTTCTGTAAGGATATAGGAGAGGTCGGAATACTCTGCTCCTCCTGCTGCCAGGATACCTGAAAAGCTCTGCTCCTGGGGGTGTTGGGGTACCTGGAAAGCTCTGCTCCTGGTGATGTCAGAGTACCTGGAAAGCTCTGCTCCTGGTCGGGGTCACTAAACCTGAAGTTCTCTGCACGTTGTGGTGTCGGGGCAAATGGAAAGCTCTGCTCCTGGTGGAATCTGGGAACCTAAGATGCTCTACTCCCAGTGTTGTCGAGGTACCTGGGATGCTCTGCTCCTGGTAGTGTTGAGGTACCTGGGATGCTCTGCTCCTGGTGGTGTCGAGGTACCTGGGATGCTCTGCTCCTGGTGTGATCAGGTTACCCGAGATTCTCTGCTCTTGGTGAGGTACCTGGGATGCTCTGCTTCTGGTGGTGTCAGTGTATGTGGGATGCTCTGCTCCTTGTGGTGTCAAGGTACGTGGGATGCTCTGCTCCTGGTGTGGTACCTGGGATTCTCTGCTCCTGGTGGTGTCAGGATACCTGGGATTCTCTGCTCCTGGTGGTGTCAGGATACCTGGGATGCTCTCCTCCTGGTGGTGTCAGGATACCTGGGATGTTCTGCTCCTGGTGGGGTACCTGGGATGCTCTCCTCCTGATCGTGTCAGTATCTGGGATGCTCTGCTCTTTGTGGTGTCAAGGTATGTGGGATGCTCTGCCCTTGGTGGTGTCAGGATACCTGGGATTCTCTGCTCCTGGTGGTGCCAGGATACCTTGGATGCTCTGCTCTTGGTGGGGTACCTGGGATGCTCTCCTCCTGGTGGTGTCAGGATACCTGGGATGCTCTGCTCCTGGTGGGGTACCTGGGATGCTCTCCTCCTGGTGGTGTCAGGATACCTGGGATGCTCTGCTCCTGGCGGGGTACCTGGTATGCTCTGCTCCTGGTGGTGTCAGGATACCTGGGATGCTCTGCTACTGGTGGGGTACCTTGGATGCTCTGCTCCTGGTGGTGTCAGGATACCTGTTTGCTTTGCTCCTGGAGGTGTCAGGATACATGGATGCTCTGCTCCTGATGTGGTACCTGGGATGCTCTGCTCCTGGTGGTGTCAGGACACCTGGGATGCACTGCTCCTGGTGGGGTAACTAGGATGCTCAGCTCCTGGTGGTGTGGGGATACCTGGATGCTCTGCTCCTTGTGGGGTCAGGGTACCTGGGACGCTCTGCTCCTGGTGGGGTCAGGGTACCTGGGACGCTCTGCTCCTGGTGGTGTACCTGGGACGCTCTGCTCCTGGTGGGGTCAGGGTACCTGAGATGCTCTGCTCCTGGTGTGGTACCTGGGATGCTCTCCTCCTAGTGGTGTCAGGATACCTGGGATGCTCTCCTCCTGGTGGGGTACCTGGGATGCTGTGCTACTCCTGCTGTAGGAGAAGCTGTGATCTGTTTAGAAAAGGCCGGGACATTACTCCTCCTGCTGTAACAGTTTCCTCTCTCTGCTTGCTCTCTCGTTTCCTGGATGTCATCAGAGCTGAAAACATGTTGAAAACTTTGTACAGTACAGAGTTCTGCCTTAAGGTGGTCTGGAGAGGATAGCAGTGAATGCTGCCTTAAGGAGGTCTGCAGAGGATAGCAGTGAGTCCTGCCTTAAGGTGGTCTGCAGAGGATCGTGCTGCATGCCAGAACTAATACCCAATACCTTCACATTCAGCCCAGGCTGTGCAGCAGCTCAGGGGTTAATCTTGAACCAATTAATTTTACAAAATGTCAGACTAATAGGATTACAAAGTGTTTCTTCCACTGCACCCCCTTTAGCACTGGGCCCCTAGACGTCCAGAGAAGAATAATTTAACGTGTGCTCCCTGCAGCTGTCCTCCTTAACTGGTCAGCGATACTTACAACATCTGCATTTCTACAGAGAGGGGACTCACAATCATAGGCTTTGTGTAAACACCAAATAAACAACTCCATGATCCTAAACCCTGGGCCCTCAATGGTTAATTGGCCCTATACAGTCGGATCTTTAAAGACACAGAGCCTCATTTATTAATCAGCAGAGCAGAATCAGAGCATCTTTTGTTCTGCAAACTGAGTCTTGTCACAGCCATACAAACCCCCGGGTGCAGCTGGGCCTAAAACGAATTGAAAGGAGAGACATTCTCAGAGTGCGGCTCGATAAAGGGGTCTCAGTTATAGGACTGCAATTCACACAATCCTGATAGGCAATGATGGGCACAAAATTGTGTATATTGGAGTCACATAAAACCTGCTGGCACCTTGTCAGGGTGTGTTGAAAGCACCTCCCATTGTCGAACGAAAGTGACGTCATAACAGAATCTATTATGAAGAATCTGCAAACTGCAATGGCAGTATAAATACAAAAATATAAGTCCTGCGCTCACTCCCATCACTCCTGGGCGGCAGTAACGACCACAGTACACATCAGCCCCAATAGATAGTTACAAACCAAAGGAAAAAAAGTTACCTGGGCTCTCTCCTTAATCCCTATGTAAATTTAGACAAATGGAGGTCATTTAGTTACTCCAATGGCAGGCGGGCATTCCCTCCAATGGCCATTGGAGTAACTAAATGACCTCCATTTGTTTAAATTTACATAGGGATTAAGGAGAGAGCGCAGGTAACTTTTTTTCCTTTGGTTTGTAACTATCTATTGGGGCTGATGTGTACTGTGGTCGTTACTGCCGCCCAGGAGTAATGGGAATTTGAGCGCAGGACTTCTCTTTTTGTATTTGTATTCACTTTTTGTATCACACAGCCTTGTTACAATGCTGCCGCCCATCCCATGTGTTCCCTATTAAGGGTTAATAAGTATATAGGGGTGTATATAAAAAATACCCCTCTCTGTCTCATTAGAGATATCTTTGCCAGAAGCTCAAGGAAGCAGGCTGAAGGACCCACTTTAGGGGGGTCTGCCTTGACGTGGGCAGGAGGGCATTCCCTCCAATGGTCATTGGAGCAACTAAATGACCTCCATTTGTTTAAATATACATAGGGATTAAGGAGAGAGCGCAGGTAACTTTTTTTCCTTTGGTTTTTAATGGCAATATGGCTTCATCCTCCGAAAGTTCTCTCAAAAGTTCCCTCAATTCCTTGAATGTACAAATCAATAAACAACAAATCACAACACAGAAGGCTAATAAAGAGTAGAGGGGGCAAAAAGAGAAGTCCTCCCTCATATCTTATGGTAGTCGTAAAACCACTGTAGTGGTTGTGGTGCCAGGCTTGCCATGGCTTCCTACCAGAGTAAGCAGTCAAACCATTTTTAACCCCTCCCCAACTGTCCTGATTTCGGTGGGACAACGTCAAGATTCAGTATCCAAAAAAACACAGCTAATAGGAAACGTAACAGAACCCCAAAAGAGGATAGTTACGTAGTTACATAGTTACATAGGCTGAAAAGTTCAGCCTTTCTCACATCTGTGTTTTGCTGTTAATCCAAAAGAAGGCAAAAAAAAAACAAAACCAGTTGAAGGATACCAGTCTTTAGGGTGGCTGAGTTTAAAGGGACACTATGGTCACCCAGATCACATCATCTCATTGAAGTGGTCTGAGTGCAGTGTCCCTGTCCCCCGTAACCCTGCAATCTAAAACATTGCAGTTTTAAAGAAACTGCAATGTTTATATTGCAGTGTTAAGATTAGCTCTATTGGGTGTGTTCCAGACAGCCACTACACTAGAGGAACCTCCTGCTTTTTCATGAAGTTTAACTCAGTGAAACAAAGCTAGACGTTCTCGCGCTTTGCATGAGGACGTCCAGCGTCTTGAAAAACCCAATGGAAAAGCATTGAACCGATGCTTTGCTATATTTAAGGCCTAATGCACACAGTGTTCACCGCCATGTGCATTAGATTTCCTCTCAGCACTAATGACGCCAGAGTCAGAGCCAGCACCAAGAGGCTTCGGAGCTGGAATCGGGTAAGCCTTTAACCCCTGGGTTATGTGAGTAAGAAGGGCAAAGGGCCATCATAGTGTTAGAAATACAGTTTTGTATTCTTAACACTATAGTGTCCCATTAACGAGAGGCACAAGAGGGTAAAAACACACCTTCAACTGACCAAAGTTTAAGTGTACAGAAAAGAGACACAATGATAAGGCAATCCGAAGTCATAGGGTACCAAAAATTAGAATAGTCAAACAGAGCCGGGTCAGAACCAATAGAAGCAGCACAAGGTAATAGAATTCACTCCAGGGTAACAAGAACCATGACAGGTAGACATGAAATGCTATTGACCAAAGGGTACATGGACGAGGCTGTCCCTTGATAATAATGCAAGGGTGTTTTAGTATAAAAGGACGTGGGAGATCATCTTCCTGCATTAACATTGACACTAGAATGAATCACAACGTCATTATGAGATGGGACAGAGCTGAAACGACGCACTATGTCAGAATAGGACCCAGTGTCCACAATTAACCTGACAGAAAGTCCCTATTTTAGGGTCCCTCTGATGCCTTCCCTGTTGCTCGAAGCTCTACCACACTACTCTGGGAGAGCAGTTCTGGCACCATAACCACAACAACAGGCTGCAGTGGTTTTGTTGCATGTAGTAATTTTTAAAGTGAACCTATAGTTACAAATATAATAAAAAATTTTGAGGGACTATAAGTTCCCTTCAATTTCCGTGACCACTGTTCATGCCCCTTTGCTGGTGAAAAAGTGTAATAAAGTTTAGCTCATATGTTTACAGCGCCAAGACAACGCTGCATCTGCCCACTCACCCTTTCACTTTCTTGTGAAAGATGCTGCACTCATCCAATCAAATTCTCTCTATGAGAAGCATTTGAGTGAAGAACCGAGTCTCTAGCAGTTGTCAGGTAGACAGCCACAAGAGGTATGTTTAACCCTGCAACGTGAACAGTGTGGTTTCTACCATACTGCAATGTGTTACATTGAAGGGTTAAATCGACAGGGACACTGCGTCCAGATCACACCATGGATGAGAAGTGGTCTGGATGCCTATAGTGTCCCTGTAATGACTGATGTACTAAACACACCATAGAGTAACTGGCAGGACTTGGAATGTTTATCTAATCACAAAACAATGCAGGGAATGTGACAGACTGGCTGGATATAGACATTGTGTGACATTGCTTAGGTCTGGTGCAAAGTATGAAAATCTACATATTGTACATCAGAGCTTAACATTTCAATTCCTACACTGATAGCCAGGCCTTAAAAGCTACTTGCAAGTTGCCACTGCAAGCCTGCAGGATTCCTGTGACACTGTCCAGGGGTGAACTTCTACGTGCCAGAGATACATTTTGACTTTCCAGTGGCGAGTGGCGAGTCCTGCTGAACAGGACATCAAGTGTCAATTTCAGAGAAAGCTGTCTAAAATAATACTAGGAACAGTGAAGCTCTCCTAGATTCTGGATAGAATAGGAAGTATTCTACAATGACACCAAGAACATGTTTTCACAAATACCCCGGGGATAATTTTTTTCTTGCAAATAAAAAAAAAAAAAGTCATGCAAAATGTATCTATATATATCTTATCTCCCGTTAAGCTAGTGCTTTGCTGATTGCATTGAGAACTGGATTACCCATTAGGCGACCAAGGCAGCTGCCGAGGGCGCGGGTTCAGAAAGTGGCCTGTAGCTCCTTTCTCAGTGGGTCCTTCTTCAGCTGGCAGGTGCATGGTCCTGCACTCTCTCACTTCACAGAGGGAGCATTCTGGTCTGGACGAACATGAGGTACAGATCACTTTAAGGGTTCCTTCACAGTGTCTTGGCACTTCTTGATGACTCAGAGTGCTGGAACCGCAAGAGCACTCTTAAAGTAACCTGCAACCGATATTGGTGAAGATCATGAAGCTGTCCCACCAGGGATCCAGCTCACACTCCACAGGACCACCAGGGATCCAGCCCACACTCCACATGACCACCTTAGATCCATATCACATTCCACCAGACCACCAGGGAGCCAGCTCATACTCCACAGGACCACCATGGATCCAGCTCACACTCCACAGGACCACCATGGATCCAGCTCACACTCCACAGGACCACCAGGAATACAGCTCACACTCCACAGGACCACCAGGGATCCAGCTCACACTCCACAGGATCGCCAGGGATCCAACTCACAATCCACAGGACCACTAGAAATGCAGCTCACATTTTACAGGACCACTAGAAATCCAGCCCACATTCCACAGGACTACCATGGATTCAGCTCACACTCCACAGGACCTCCAGGGATCCAGCTCACACTCCACAGGACCACTAGGGATGCAGATCACATTCTACAGGACCACCAGGGATGCAGCTCACACTCCACAAGAACACCAGGGATCCAGCTCACACTCCACAGGATCACCAGGGATGCAGCTCACACTCCACAGGACCACTAGGGATGCAGATCACATTCTACAGGACCACCAGGGATGCAGCTCACCCTCCACAAGACCACCAGGGATCCAGCTCACACTCCACAGGACCACCAGGGATCCAGCTCACACTCCACAGGACCACTAGGGATGCAGATCACATTCTACAGGACCACCAGGGATGCAGCTCACACTCCACAAGAACACCAGGGATCCAGCTCAAACTCCACAGGACCACCAGAGATCCAGCTCAAACTCAACAGGACCACTAGAAATCCAGCTTACATTCCACAGGACCACCAGGGAAAGTGATCAGGGCGTAGAACATACACACACACACAATTCAACCA